CTGGCCCTGGCCCCGCGTCTGCTCCAGAAAGGTCGCCAGCATCCCCAGCGCCTCCAGCGGCTCCGGCTGCCCCACGACCGCCGCGCGCTCGCAGACGTTCACGAGCGACAGGCCCGACGAGGTCCACAGGATCTTGTGCACCGGGAACCTCGGGTGCTTGTTCAACGGGGGAGCAGTAGAAGCCACAAATTGTCAAAAACCTCGCGTGGTGACTTTCTCACAGCGCGGGGAGGGTTTGGGATTGGGCGTCGATGTTCTCCGACGGTAGGACCCCGCACGAGAATCTGTTTAACTTGCCTGGGGATCTCCTCCTGCCCCCTCCCTTCTCCAACCTACTCCTGCCTCCTCCTTCTCCTCCTGCCTGCTCCTACTCCTGACTCAACCCCTGCCTCCTCCTCCTCCCTCCTCCTCCTCCTCCTCCTCCTCCTCCTCCTCCTCCTCCTCCTCCTCCTCCTCCTCCTCCTCTCCGCCTCCTCCTCCTCCTCCTCCTCCTCATCCTCGTCCTCCTCCTCCTCCTCCTCCTCCTCCTCCTCCTCCTCCTCCTCCTCCTCCTCATCATCATCATCATCATCATCATCATCATCATCATCATCATCATCATCATCATCATCATCATCATCATCATCATCATCATCATCATCATCCACCTGCCTCCTCAGGCCTCCTGCCTCCTCCCGGGGCCTCCTCGGGCCTCTTGGGGCCTCCTGGAGCCGTCTGGGCCTCCCGGGACCCCCTGGGGCCTCCTAGGGCATTCCTCCTCCTCCTCCTCCTCCTCCTCCTCCTCCTCCTCCTCCTCCTCGTCGTGCGAACAAGACCTAGAGGAAACGCACGACGCGCGTCCCAGCGGCTACGCGCCGGAGGACGGCCCAGAGGAAACGCGCGCCGGAGGACGACCCAGAGAAAACACGTGAGGTGCGGGCCCCATAGGGAGGGGGCCTCTCGCCTGAGACTTCCGCGCAATTCACTCACAGACGAGGCTCCAGCCTCATACTTCCTCTATAGTCAGGCCTCAGGAGCCCAAAAGTGACGTCGCTTACATGAGGCCGATGACCCGCCTCGGATTCGATCATGAAACGCGGGCCCCATAGGGTGGGGCTCCCGCCAGAGTTTTCCTCGCAATTCACTCACAGACGAGGCTCCCGCCCGACACTTCCTCCACATTCAGGCCTCAGGAGCCCAAAAGTGACGACGGTTACAGGATGCCGATGACCCGCCTCGGATTCGAACATGAAGCGCGGGCCCCATAAGGAGGGGGCTCCCGCCTGGGACTTCCTCGAAATTCACTCACAGACGAGGCTCCCGCCTGATACTTCCTCCATAGTCAGGCCTCAAGAACCCAAAAAGGACGACGGTTACAGGAGGCCGATGACCCGCCTCGGATTCGAATGTGAAGCGCGGGCCCCATAGGGAGGGGGCTCCCGCCTGAGATCTCCTCGCAATTCACTCATAGACGAGGCTTCCGCCTGACACTCTCTCCATATTCAGGCCTCAGGAGCCCAAAAGTGACGACAGTTACAAGAGGCCGATCACCCGCCTCCTCGGATTCGAACATGAAGCGCGGGCCCCGTAGAGAGGGGGCTCCCGCCTGAGACTTCCTCGCAATACACTCAAAGACGAGGCTCCCGCCTCATACTCCCTTCATATTCAGGCCTCAGGAGCCCAAAAGTGACGACGGCTACAGGATGCCGATGACCCGCCTCGGATTCGAATGTGAAGCGCGGGCCCCATAGGGAGGGGGCTCCCGCCAGAGATCTCCTCGCAATTCACTCACAGACGAGGCTCCCGCCTGAGACTTCCTCGGATTATGAGAACGATGGTAATGGGTGATGGTGACGATGGTGATGTTGACGATGGTGGCGGGTGATGGGTAATTATGGTGACGATGGTGATGGATGAGAGCGATGAGGTTCAATCACAGACAAGGCTCCCGCCTGAGACCTCCTCAAGCTGAGTGCGTGGGTGTGTGAGTGAGTGTGTGCGATCATGACGATGGTGACGGTGGTGCTGTGATAATGATGATGATGATGATGATGATGATGATGAGGAGGAGGAGGAGGAGGAGGATGATGATGATGATGATGATGCTGATGCTGATGCTGATGCTGATGCTGCTGCTGCTGATGATGATGATGATGATGATGACTATTATGAGTAGTCGTTGTGTATCAGTGAGTGAGCCACTCAGGACGAGTGAGTGAGTGTGAGTGCATGAGAGTGGCCGAGTGAGTGTGAGTGAGTGTGTAAGTGATGCTGTGTTGATGATGTGATGATAATGTGAATGTGTGAGCGTGTGAGTGAGAAGAGAAGGGGTGTTCCTTCCATCATGTTCCTGCGCGGTGTTTCCAGAGAAACCAAGAACCCCACTTTGTATGTGGGAAACAAAACCACTCCCCTGCGATCCGACGGCGCGCAAAAACTCACAGAAAGTTGACGGCCCGAGCCCTACACCCAAACTTTGTGGGGTGCTTTCCGAGCCCGGTCAATCCCATCAGCCTTTCTGGGCTCTAGGAGGACCCTGGCCTTGTCTGCTCGCCCTCAACCTCCTCCTCCTCCTCGCAGATTGCGCCCCACACCCAGACGTCGGGGGCAAGGGGAACTGGTGGAAATCTCTTCACGAGCACGGGCAGGGAAGAAGCGGGGCCACACGTCCGATGTCGTAACGTGCATCGTCTCTTCGTCGTCTGATGTCACTTTCTCTTGCGCCGCATTGGAGTTCGAGCTCTTGGGATCCGCAGGTGCGACCTCCAGCCAAAGAAGACGGCAACATATTCAACGCATCCACTCAACAAAATGTTAGATTACCGGGATGGGCTTGTTGGAAGCTTATCATCCACCGCCGAAAATAACGCGATGGATAACCAACGCGCGAACAATAGCAATGAGGGCAACACATCTAAAGACGAGAAGGCAACGCGCGTTCCTTACACAACGGAGTGATACGGCAGTCAATCATTCAATGCCTGTCCTGGCGAGTCAGATGCGGTCCTGGAGAGAGTACCCCGCCAGCGCCCGAGCCAGAGGCCAACGGACAGAACACCACCACGTTAGACGCAGCGCCGCTGAAGACAAATGAGTTCATCGGGAACCGCGAAACATGCATTGCAGAGCTGATTGGCACGATTCGCAATTCGAACAGCCTGGATCAGATCAGATCGATTCCAGACGGGCTTCAATACTGGTTGGAACAGCGTGCAGACTGTGCGGCAAAAAAGGATTGAGGTATGCAGTGAATTGCTTACAGAAACGGACGGGTTTGCCTGGCGGGCCCGATGCAGTCCTGGAGAGGGCACCCCGCAAGCGCCCGAGCAAGAGGCCAACGGACATAATATCATCAGTTTGGACGCAACGCTTCTGAAAACAAATGAATCCATTGGGGGGGGCACTCGTAAGAAGAATAGTTTGAACAGTTAGGTAGCACGATTCGCCATATTGACAGCGTGGATCAATGGCGTTGGCAAAGCTCTTGAGTAATGGACTTCTTATCAAGCAAGCACAACCATACATTACAGGGCCCGGATTCATCGAATCAACGACGGGATAGCTCGCCCTCGAGCACCGCGGGGGCCTCGCAGCGCCCGCAGCCTTCCAACGGTGCGTCCTGTGCGGGGCTTTCCCCTGCTGGCGGGGCTCGGGCCCGCGCTCCAGCGGAGGTCGAGGCCCGTCGCCCCGGGCGGCCCCTGGAACCACGAACGTGGCGATGAGGCTCGCCCAGGGGCCCACGTTAGCGGTCGACTCTGCAGACGACGGACCCCCAGCGCCCCTGGCACGCGTGGCGCAGCTCGCCCAAGCGTCGCGCACCTGGGGTCGGCTTTGGTCCCCAGTAGCTGCCCATCCAAAGACGACCGCTGAGCATGCTCAGGCTCGGGTGATAAGTGTGTGTGTGTGGGGAGGGCGGGTGGGAGTGAGCTAGACGGCTTGCGGGCGGATGGGTAGCTTGTCCTTATCCTTATCCTTCTCATTATCATTATCCTCATCCTATCCTTATCATCCTCCTCCTCCTCCTTCTTCTCCTCCTCCTCCTCCAACCCCTCCTCCTCCTCGTCCTCATCCTCATCCTCCGCCTATTCCTCCTCCTCCCGCCTCTGCCATTCCGTCTCTCAACTCTTCTACATCCTCCACCCTCACCCTCTTGGGGTATGACGTCTCACCCAGCCCTTTATTCCACTGCATGCTCCTGCGCATCCCTGATTAGGGCAACTCGTCTGGGCGTAGTGCCTGGATGTACTGGCGACGTTTTTCTGGTACGCGGGCGCGCGAAGACGAGTGGAACGCCGTGCAAGCTAAGGCGGGCCGCGCCGTGGCAAAGGGGAAAACAGCGAAGCGAGCGGCGCCCAGTGGTGAGGCTACGCGAAGCGTCTAGAATATGTGAGAGCCCTGGGAGAGAAGGCCCGAGTGCGAGAACAGTGAGCAGCCAGAATCCCACGGCCCACCCCTGCCGAAGCCCCTGACGCCTCCACCGCCCTCTCGCGCTCCTCTCGTCGACGCGCAGAAGTGCCCCTGGGCAAGAGTGACCTCTGGTGCGCGGCTCCAGGGGGGCGCGGGGGAGCCAAACCCGAGCGCAGGAGCCGCTGCTGCCGCATCGCGCTCAGCGGTCGGGGGACCCTCGGGTGTTCGTCACGGGAGGGGCAGTAAACATGGGGGGACGAAACGTGCACCTTTCGAGCAACTCTTGGGCACGCGGTGGCAGTCTAGAGGCCGTACAGGGCCCCTGTGGGGCCACCCTTCCTGCAATCCTCGATGCACCCCATGTTTATTGCCCCCCGTTGCCGCCCGCCCGAGACCCCAGCTAGAGGCATCCCAAACAGGGTCCGAGCAGATGGGGTCGGAGAATCCCGCCGCATCGCTGATGCATCGTCGATGCATCACCGATCTCGGCGATGCATCAGCGACGTCGGCGATGCATCGGCGACGTAGACGTGGATAACATCGGGCCCCACATCGAGCCGCATCGCCGATGCATCCGCGATGCGGCGCGATCCTCTACTCTAGCCCAGTTTGGGAGACCGAGTGGGGAAACCAACAGATACCCATACCGCTACTCCCCGGACCTCTTCCAGGGTGCGTCCTGACCAGAATCTCGAGGCGAATCCAGCGGTGGCGACGAGGGCCTCTCAGGATGCCCCACAAAGCGGAAGGTAGCAGCATGGGTACCTTCTCCTCCACTGACCTAGACCGCCGTCCGCCCGTTTTGGACGCCCGAAATGGGTACAGACAAAATGGGTACCATGCCCAACAACAGATATTGCCCCAGACTAACAGCGGCCGCCGTTGGGCAGGCGGTATATCTCAAGCGGACACAGCCGCGGCGGCGCGGACAGCGAGTCCTGCTCAAAATGAAGAGGAACTGCTGATGGGCATTGTACCTACTCCGAGTTTCTCAATAAGCGTCGGGGGGGGGGGGCGCCACCCCCGCCGACGGCCCCACACCGACCCCCGTCGCGGGCAGCCACCGCGCGCCGAAGGCGCTCCGACCCCTGTCGCGGCGCGACGACGAGGCGCGGCTGACCCCCGTCGAGGGGGGTACCCCCCACGCTCACCAAGAAACCCAGCGCATTCGTTTCGTGCCCATTTCTTTTCGTACCCATTTCGTACCCACTCTCTCCGTACCCATTTCGTTCGTGCCGGGGCCCGGGAACCCCGACGCAGCGCTGTCGAGGGGGCCCGGCACGCACACCAGGACCTCCACCTCGCTCCAGCCCGCGGCCTGCGGCCGCGCCCCCGGGGCGCCCCTCGGCGCGGCGCCGGGGTGCCGCGGCGTCTCGGGCGCGGCGGCCGCCGCCGCGTCCTCGGGCGACTAGCAATACAGTGTTCGGCCTGACCGGAGGAACGATGAATAAGGAACGGAGCGCCCCTTTGTTTTCCAAGTAAGTCTATGAAGTCCGAAGGAACACCAGGGGGGGCTCGCCGCCAAAAAAGTAGCGGAACGCATGCAAGCCAGAGGAACCACCGAGCCCCTTTTGAAAAGTACGTGTTCCTTATTCAAGCCGGACCCGGTAGAAGGACCCCTAACCCTGTGGGAGGCGACCAAAGCCAGGAGGGCCAGAAACATGAGGGATAGGGGGTCCTTTGCTGCAGGTGTATCAAGCCCAACTGGCCCGACTGAGTATCCCTGCCGCGAAAAGGGGGGGCCTAAGTTAGGCCACGGCTTTATCGCGTTATTAGGGTTAGGGGTTCTGCTGATCTCGATGACTCGGAGGCCTCCCAAGCAGGGTCCGAGCAGATGGGGTCGGAGGATCCCGCCGCATCGCCGATGCATCGGCCATGAATCGGCGTCGTCGGCGATGCAAGGGCGACGTCGGCGTGGACAACGTCGGTCTCTAAATCGAGCCGCATGGCCGATGCATCGGCGATGCGGCGCGATCCCTCGACCCCATCTGCTCGGACCCCACTTGGGAGGCCCTTCGTCCTGGATGGACACAAGGCGGAAAACGATGAAGTGGAAGAACGCGATCATCTGATCGTCCCACTGCGCACGGAAGGCCTCGGCACGCTCCCGCAGCTGCTGCGTGCGCTCGGCCAGCGACCTCTCCCACTCGTCGCAGTGCGCCTCCGCCTCCCGGATGCCCTCCTCCTCCGCCTCGGAGGAGCGAGGGATATGCGGAAGGGGACGCACTGGCCTGGAATCGGCCATGCATCGCCGATAAGTCGGCGATAGCAGAGGCCTTCCAAATGTGGTCGGAGCAGAATGGGTCGGATGATCGCACTGCATCGTCGATGCATCATCGCCGATGCATCGGCGATGCATCGGCGCCGTCGGCGATGCATCGGCGAGGTCGGAGTGGATGACGTCGGGCTCCGCATCGAGCCGCATCGCCGATGCATCGGCGATGCGGCACGATCCCTCGACCCCACCTTGGGGGAGACGTAAGGCTCGGGTATGGGGGACTCGGGTTGGCCTTACGGGGCCATCATAAAAATGGCGAGACCCAATCTGAAATTTGACGCGAACTCCCACTGCAAGCATCCCACGAAAACTGGACCGTCAAAATCTAATACGCGCTCGCCAAAATACGTCGGCAAACCCTAGTTCCCGGCTTACTCGAGTCTCACGTTTCCCCGACACCTGCGCGGGCCCCATCTGGCAGGCCTGGAGATGAGCCCTCGGCAGCGAGACCGCACGTTCCTGGGCGGTGTGTGGGAGACCCCGACCCCGTCGGCAGCGACGATAAGGGCGAATAGCCCAGGGGCGGGCATTAGACGTATTCGCCCGGGAGCCTTCTCGAAGACATCGATCATCGGCGCACCTGAATACATGTATTACTCTCCCCTGGGCTACCCGCCCCTGCCGTCGCCCCTGACCCCCCATCGGCAAGGAATGGGCGGCCCTGGATCTCTGGCAGTATTGCCTCGCAGCGCGGGCTCCTGCAAGTCTCGACCCCCTCCCCAGGAGCAGCTGCTCCCCCCCGGGCCGGGATCTGACGGCCCGAGCGCCCCGCAAGAGCCCCAGGGGCCCCAAAAATAGCCAACAAGCCTGCGGGACTTCCTCGCAGCGCGGGGAGGGTCTGGCACTGGGCGTCGGTGTTCTCCCTCCCCCAAGAGGCCACTCCCCTGCGACACGACGGCGCGGACAAAAAAAACAGGCGCAAACTCATGACCCGAGCGCCCTAGGCCCAAGCTTTCTGCGGTGCCTCTCGAGCCAGATCAACGTGTGCGAGTCCTGGGGCCAGAAGCTGGGCAAGGATGCAGCATGCAAGAAAAGTGAGCAGCCAGAATCCCACGGCCCACCCCTGCCGAAGCCCCTGACGCCTCCACCGCCCTCTCGCGCTCCTCTCGTCGACGCGCAGAAGTGCCCCTGGGCAAGAGTGACCTCTGGTGCGCGGCTCCAGGGGGGCGCGGGGGAGCCAAACCCGAGCGCAGGAGCCGCTGCTGCCGCATCGCGCTCGGCGGTCGGGGGACCCTCGGGTGTTCGTTCACGGGAGGGGCAGTAAACATGGGGGGACGAAACGTGCACCTTTCGAGCACCTCTTGGGCCCGCGGTGGCAGTCTAGAGGCCGTTCAGGGCCCCTGTGGGGCCACCCTTCCTGCAATCCTCGATGCCCCCCATGCTTATTGCCCCCAGTTGCCGCCCGCCCGAGACCCCAGCTAGAGGCATCCCAAACAGGGTCCGAGCAGATGGGGTCGGAGAATCCCGCCGCATCGCCGATGCGGCGCGATCCTTCGACACCATCTACTCGAACCCCATTTGGGAGACGTAGTGGGGAGACCAAAAGATACCAATACGGCTACTCTCCGGGCTGCTCCCAGGGTGCGTCCTGACCAGAATCTCGAGGCGAATCCAGCGGTGGCGACGAGAGCTTCCCAGGATGCCCAAAAAGCGGAAAACGGGCGAAGGGTAGCGGCACGGGCACCTCTTCCTCAGACCTGTGACCAGTGGGCCCGCATCAGAGGTCACCACCGGCGAAGGGCCACTCTTGCGCGCCGCCGACGGCCTCAAGCCTGGCGCCCCGGGGCTCGCCGCCGAAGCGCCCCGCGGCCTCGCCGTGGCCCGGGCGGCTGTGGAAGGGCACTGGCTCCCAGAAGACTGGCCGCCACCTGGGAGGGGCCAAGAGTCGGCGGCGAGCAACCCTCGACCTGCACCTTCCGCGCAGCAGGTGCCGCCGCGATGCGGCCGCGGCAGCGCGGCACCAGCCGCGCGGAAGGTGCGGAAGGCGCAGGTCGAGGGAAGGGGGGAGGTGAGGAGGAGGCCTTCTGAGGAGGCGGCGGGGCTTCTCAGAAGCCCTCACCGGCCTTCTGAGGGGGCTCCTGCGTCTCCAGGGAGGGCCCAGAAAACTCCTCGGAAGACCGGAGGACTTCCGAGCCTTCTGAGAAGGCCTCCTCCTCCTCCTCCTCCTCCTCCTCCTCCTCCTCCTCCTCCTCCTCCTCCTCCCCCTCCTCCCTCCTCCTCCTCCTCCTCCTCCTCCTCTCCCCTCCTCCTCCTCCTCCTCCTCGTCCTCCTCCTCCTCCTCCTCCTCCTCCCCTCCTCCCCTCCGCCTCCTCCCTCCTCCTCCTCCTCCTCCTCCTCCTCCTCCTCCTCCTCCTCCTCCTCGTCCCTCCTCCTCCTCCTCCTCCTCGTCCCTCCTCCTCCTCCTCGTCCCTCCTCGCTCCCCCCCGGGGCTCGCCAGCGGAAGAGAAGGGGCACCTCGAGCGACGAGGCGACACGGGCCTCTGCGCGAGAGGGCACGGCGACCGCACGCCCGCGGCGTATACACGCGGGCCGCCCGCGGGGCTCGCCGCGCGGAGAAGAGGGGGCGCCTGCGCGCGGCCTGCCTCGGGGAGCTCACGCTCGTGGACGCCACGACAAATGTCGGGTCGGGCGAAAGGGGGGGATAGCAAAGTCAAAAAAGTAATCGAAAAATCGTCCCCTGACTATGTTTGAACTATTTTGGAACACTCCCTCCTGTAGAGGGACGTGGCCGACTGAAGCCCCGTGCGGCGGCGCACCCCCTGCGCAGCATTCGGGTCGGGCGAAAGGGGGGGATAGCAAAGGGGGGGGTTTGAGAATCAGCTCACGTAGCGGATTTTCCCGGCGCCTCCCGGCGCCGGAGGCGCCCATGTATCGAGGAATGGGCCCCTCGGTGGGGCCGAAACCAGCTGCATGCAGCAGACTTCGTAACCCCCCATTTCCCAATCCCCCCCTTTCGTCCGGCCCGAAAATGGGCACCTGAACGGTCCTATCATCAAACTTGAAGGGGCCCTGGGACACACAAGTACATACACGCAAGTAAAAAGGCTTCCCCATATTTTCCTTTATGTTTGGGGCTTCTGTCTCCCCCCCCACTGCCCATATTTACCTACAGTTTGTCTGGAATCGACGATTAATTGTGTCTGTGTGTTTTTTCTCCTCCTGAGAATTGAAGGTGTGTTTAAAATGTGTAAAACGTGCTCAAAAAATGTGTCAAACATATTTTTACATATCTAAAGCATGGTTGACACCTTTTTCAGACATCTGGGAACTCTTTGGCAGCATGCTTCCTCTCCAATGATCGTCCTCCACAAGCTTAAGCGCGAATGCACACGCAGGCGACCTCGCTTTCTTCCGTCGCTCACCCGACCCAGGCCCAGACCCCTTCGCGTCCCGACAATCAAAAAAAACACGGACGTGGTTTTGCAATTCCCGGCGTCTGGGGCCCTCACCGGACCCCTGGGCAAGTCACAAGATGCCTCGGGCTCTCAGGCCACTCCCCGGGAAGGGGCCCAGACCCCCAAGGCTACCACGCCGTGAAAAACCATGGCGCGGGTGTACTGGAAATGACGCCTGGTCAGGGGGCACGACGAGTCGGCGCCGCGCCTGGGGGGGGAAGGCGGGGAAGGGAGAAAGAGAGAGAGAGAGAGAGAGAGCCGGCTCTCTCGGGAGGTGGCAGGGACTCCCAAGACCACCCCGCCTCCTCAGAAGGCGCCCGTGGCCTCGGAGACGCCCCCGGCGGCTCCCTGGGAGGCGGGACGGCCTCTGAGAAGCCTGGCCACCTTCCGAGAGGGCCGGCCCCCTCTGCCCTCCCCCCTGGGCGCGCCGCCGGCGAGAAGGGGGCCGGAGGCCGACTTCTTCTTCCGCCGCCTTCCGCCGAGCCTCCGCCGGCCTGCGCCCGCGGCCCGCGGGACCGCCCTCGCTCTGCTTCCGCGCCCCTCCGCCGCCCCGCCGCCGCCCTCCGCCGAGGCAGAGCTGGCAGCGCCTTCGATCCTCGACGGCGAGGCCCCCCCCTTCCAAAAACGCCTCGTGCGTCGCCGCGCCGCCTGTCCTGACTACCTACCAGACCACCCCAACCCAACCCGAAGACCCGAATCTCGGGCTGGGGGGGGGAAGGGTTCCACGCGTGTTTTTGTCGATGTTTCCCCCCCCCCCCCCATTAGAAATCGAGGGTAAATCTGAGCCTTCGGGTTGGGTTGGGGTGGTCTGGTGGATGGTGATGTCCTCGACGCGCCCAAGTGAACGACGCCGGCACCACGGCAAACCCACGGCAAGCCCACGGCAGGCCCTGCGCCCCCGCGCCCCAGCATACCAAAGCCGGCGCCGCAGCGGGCCCACGGCGAATTCCCACCGCGCCCCCGAGGCGGCGTCATGGCGGCCGTGGCGCCCCACCCCCAAGACGTACGGCCACGCGCCGGAACAAACGGCGCGGAGGCACACAGTCGAGGCGTTGACCTAAGGAACCCTAAACAAGGAACGAGGCCCCTTCTCTCCATAAGTTCAACCTCGATGTCCCATGGAAAACCTCAGGAAAACCCGAGGCAAACTTTGAAACAATCAAGGAACACCGAGCCCCTCCCCAACGAAAAGGGTTCCTTCTTCAGCGCCCCGACTGTACATATGTTCTAACCTCCAAAAAAGTCTGGGGAGCCCGCGCAGCGGACGAAAACCACGGCGGAAGGCTTTCGGCCTCTCTCGGCCCCCCTGAGGGGCCCTCACCGGGCTGGGCCCCGGGGCATCCAGAGACCGGATGGCATCGAGCCTGAGGCTCACACCGAGACGCAGAAGGGCATACTGGTACCGTGTGTGTTCCTCGGAGGCGTGCGTCCGACCCGCACACATAAAAGCACGAGCACCTTGCAGTGCATCCTTTCCCGAGCGGTACGGCCAGAGAGCGCCCGCCACGGAGCTCGTAAAGCTGCGCGGCGCGCGAGGCGCGCGCTGCGGGGGCGATGATATGAGGATGCTGGCTGGGGTGGCGCCGAGACATCTTCGGCCTCATCAGTTGGCGGCGCGCAGGGGGGTGGAGGGAGGGGGGAGGGCTTCTTAGAGGGAGCCTGCTTCTTAGACAGAAACTGCTTCTTAGAAGGCTTCTTAGAAGGCGCCTTCTAAGAAGCAGGGGTGCTTCTAAGAAGCCCTCCCCCCTCCCCCCACCCCCCTCTGCGCGTGGCGGCTTCAGGAGGCCGCTTTCGGATCCTGCGGGGGCTGTGAAGCGAGTATACTCGGGACGAACCGCCCGTCCCCGGAAGGGGTCGAGAGGCCCGGGGGGGGCCCGACCCTCGAGACGACAGAGTCGCCAGGTGTGTGGGGGGGGGAGATGCCGCGACTGCTGCACGTCGTGCTTTTTCAGGACGATGGATACGAGAACGGCGCCTGCACCGCACCGTTTCTGGACCCCCAGGCCGGTACAGTGCGCAGCCGCTTCGGCACCGAGGGCAAACAACAACTGAGCGCCGTGTTGTTTTTGGGTTGAGGGCCGAGGACGCCTCCCGAGACGCCAACGCAGCACGGTGCAGGCAAGTCGTCCGCGGACTGGATGTCCATGTTCGGCGGCGAGCGAAGGGGGAAGAGAGAAGGAGGACACCCTCTCAGAAGGCGGCGGTGCTTCTCAGAGGCCCTCACCGGCCTTGTGAGGGGCTTCCTGCGTCCTCGGGGAAGGCTCAGAAAACTCCTCTGAAGGCCGGGGGACTGCCGAGCCTTCTGAGAACCCAGACATCCGCTGATATGATTGTTTCAATCCGCGGCCCCAAAGGTCCCGACCCCTTCACTGGGGGTGTTTGTCAGCCAGGATCCGTTTTTGATGGTGCCTGGGCCTGATAAGGGGCCCTGGTAGCCGACATCGAGGATAAGGCCCCGCCCCATCGCACTTCCCACCCTCGCTCGCCGCCGATGGGTTGTCGGGGGCGACCAAGAGTGGGAGGTCCAAGAGTGGGTTCGTACACAACCTGGCCCCCGAGGCACGCGCGCGGCCCGGGGGGGGCCCGAGCGGCGCGTTGAAATAAGAAGAGGCCATGAAATCTGGGCAGATATTATGGCCCCAGTCATGATATTTATATATATATATATATGTGTATATATATAGCCAGCAAGGATATCCTCAGGATGTCTCAGGCTTGTGTATATTTGCTCGGCTCGCTAGCTACACCGCCCGACAAGCTTGCCATTCTTTGAGGCAGGTCTAGTCGCTTGGGTTTGTGAGTGGCCTTCCCTTCTCGCAAGACGGTGGATATATGTATATATATATATATATGCATACATACACAAACATATACATATACATATACACACATATATATATATATGGTCCAGGAATGGTAGTCTCACGAGTATGCTGAAGTGACACATTGCACGACCGCGCACGCTGTACAAGCTGGATCTGGATCGATCGGCCATGTGTGCACGAGCCGGTGGCTCCTGTAACGACAGCCACCGAGAAGGGGCTGAAGACAAAGGTGCCTAGCCAGTGGGACTGACGGGCTGGCGGGCGAGATGCTGGGAATGTCCAGCCTGCTGCGCCAATCTGCGGTGCTCGCGGACCCCTGCTCGGAGCTCAGTGGCTCGCGCGGCGGGGAGCCATGATCCAGTCTCGGCACTCTGGTCGCCGACTGCCGGGGACATGAGAGCTCAAACGGACTCGCTCCCGGAAGTCTTTCCCGCATGCCGGGCAGACGGAAGAGGGAAGCCGGTCCTGGATCTCGAGGGTGGCGCCGTGCTTGGCTCTGAGAGCAAGGAAGGAAGGGAAGGAGGACAGGAGGAGAAAGTGGAGGAGGAGGACGAGGAGGACGACGAGGAGGAAAAACAGGACCAGCAGCATGAGGCGGAGCTGGCAACTGGATCAAGCACATCGGGAGCCCACTTAGCAGAACAGAAGCCCACTTAGCAGAAACACGACTTTCTCTGATGACTGGCCAGAGCACGCCGCTGTACGAGCTGTAACCAGATCGATCGGCCATCTGTGCACGAGCCGGTGGCTCCTGGAACGACAGCCACCGAACACGGGCTAAAGACAAAGGTGCCCAGCCAGTGGGACTGAATGGGCAGGCGGGCGAGATGATGGGAATGCCCAGCCTGCTGCGCCAATCTGCGCTTGCCGTCGCTCGGACGTCCATTTCCCGTGCATTGTTCGGTTTCGTGCGTGTTTTTTTTCGCTCGATGGTCCAGGATGTTCCTCAAAGGGTCCTCGCCGAGAAAAAAATACACACGTCCGAGCGATGCCAGGTGCGGTGCTCGCGGACCTCTGCTCGGAGCTCGGTGGCTCGCGCGGCGGGGAGCGGCGGGCAGTGCGCCATGGTCCAGTCTCGGCACTTTGGTCGCCGACTGCCGGGGACATGTAATCAGCCTCGAACTTATCCCTATCCCTAAGATGGGCGAGCAAAAAGCGAGGACAATCTTAGGGATAGGCCCTCAGAAACTGAGGGAATCCTTAAGATCGGCATCGAGGTGAGGTGATGTCAAACATAGGGATAGGGATATGTTTCAAAACTGGTAAACATGAGAAGTCCAACGGACTCGCTCCTAAGTCTTTCCCGCATGCCGGGCAGACGGAAGAGGGAAGCCGGTCCTGGATCTCGAGGGTGGCGCCGCGCTTGGCTCTCTGATGACTGGCCAGAGAGCGTTGTGAGCAGAAGGCCGCTCCACAAGAGCACACAGAATGAGGGAGGTGCGAAGGCTGAGCTGCTGCTGCAACAGGGTCGCATACAGGCGCCACAGCATGCATTTGTACCCGCCAGCCCCCTTGTGGGGCCACCAGGCTGTAGGGCCAGGGTTTGCTGTTCCCTGCGCCAGTTCCAATTTCCAGTTTCCACTGTGACAGCTCTGTGCCTTGCTGATTACTGTTCCTTGTTGATGGACCGCGCGAGGGGGGGGAGCCGGAAAGCGTCCGGATTACCACGCCCGAATCGCGTTGCCTGAATTCCTAGGGGGGGCGTGGGACACGCAAAAATAAATTAAATTCGCGCCCGCGAACTCACAAACCCGTGTAAATTACGCAATGCTCGCGCCCCCGAGGCCATAAACCGTCAGGAGTGATGCAATATTCGCGTCCTCGAAACCAGAAGCTCTCGCAAAATACACCATATTCGTGTCCCCGAAACCATAAACCTTCCTAAATTAAAAAAGAATTGCGACCCCGAGGCCACAAACGTTCGCAAATCATGAAATATTCGCGTCCCCGAAGCCATAAAACTTTCGGCCATAAACCTTCGTAAAGTACGCAATGTGTGCGTTCCCGATGCAATGAACCATTGAAACATACTTAATACTCGCGTCCCCGAAGCCATGAACCCTCGTAAATTACGCAATGCTCGCGCATCCAAACCCATAAGCCATTGTAATGTATA